AAATCACAGTGACTCGAGGCTCGATTTTTTTGAAATCGAGAGTCCGAATTTCCACGAAAAATTCAAGAAAATAACCAACGCATAAAATGAGAATACGAATCTATATATACCCAACTAACCAACGGATTTTCAAATCCAACCCATGAAAAACGAGCGGATTAAGATCGGGGAAAAATTTAATCATCATATCGAATTTCTACTAAACAAAACCTCAAGTCAGATCTTAACTCTATACCGTTAGAGTTCAAGTCTGAACATACGGATGTATACAACTCTTCTAGAGTTCACCACTAAGTACTAGAGTTCAATAATGCAGAAGTAGGAGGATAAATTCCTAAGCCCCAATTAACAACATATAATATTATCTCAGCTATCAGGCAACACTTAAGAAATTTAAACTTAATCAGGAATCTCATACCTGAGTTGGCGAGGCACGACGGAAGCGAGTGGTCATATACATATTATGCAAAATAATTCACATAATTCACACATACTAGTCTACAGAAACGCAGACTGGCTCTGATACCAAACTGTAACGCCCCACTTTGATTTAAGAAATAATCCATGGCTTATTCAAAAATCAAGTTTACATTTTTTAAATTCATTTTTCAAAATCCATAACATTAGGGAATTATCTTGATTTTAATTCATATTTGAAACCTCGCGGGTATACATTACCCGGTTTTTCACATGGACTTCATTGTCCTAAAATCAACAGTTCACATGATATCCAAATGACACATTCAATATGAATACCCAAACATAGTTCCATGAAAAGAACCAAATCATATGTTCAAACCGACATAATTTCAACGACATGGTCTGAAATGAAATAACATGTTCATAACCCAACATTTCCAAGTTCATCAGTTCGGGTTAACTTAATCAAAATGGAGCGGAAGCAAATAATGTAAATATGACCATCCACTCGCCATCCTGCCGTCGTGCCCGCCTTGCTTAACCTGAAATGTGAATTTCAGGTGGGGATGAGCACAGTTGGAAAAAGTAGTGCTCACCGCTATGCAATAAATAATGTATTAAAAACAGATAAGCATGGTCGCAGCATGAACACGAATCATTCAAATATCACATCTCCTAATCATAACCTTTTACTCATGTGCACATCTATCATTAGCCATTGAAGGTCGAAACCGCACACAACAATGGGAGTAAATACCGAAGGGTGTACAACTCCCCTCGGCCTTGCCTATCATTAGGCTAGGGAGACTGCCTATCATTAGGCACCGTCGAAGGTCGAAACCGCACACGACGATGGGGATAACTGTTCGAAGGTCGAAACCGCACACATCGAAGGTTACAGGTTCACATGCATACATTAATCATACCATTCGACTTTCATAAAGAATTTAATGCATAGGAAATTTTGAAAAACCCACCTGGAAGCGAAAAGGAGATAATCACGAAAGCACGATTAGGCCGAGCTCAGCTCGTCAAACACCTACATTAAGTCCAGATGCTATAATCACCATCTATTCTGACTTAGACGGAAAATCACAATCATACTTAGTCGAACTTGATTCAACTAAGTTGTTCGTGAAGTCCTGTGGACGTTGGAACACTTAGACTTGACATCTAGACTCAACCAATTACACATGGGAGTTCAAATAATCCAAACATAAACATTCACCAAGTCAAACACTTAATGAAACAAATGACGGGTCGGTTAACAGTTTTCATTCTAAAAACCACATTTACGATTATACAAGTTTAAATCACAAAAATGAGTTGACCATGGTGCCATATGAATTTTGCTCTGAACATTTAACATAAATTTCACCTCCCAGAGTTAAGCAAATACACAAATTTTCAGCTTCAAATCCCAAGTACACTATTTTATAAAATTCTCACAAGATATCGGCAAAACCGACCCATGAATATATACTCAAACTTAATGAATGATTCAGGACTTTATAATTTTACACAATGCACTACATCATGATATAAACAACATATGAAAATCTCAGCCCTTAACATTAATTGCTGCTATTTATAAAAATTCATACGAGATTCAGCAGTTTATCAAATTTAAATCAAAATCGAATTAAAATGGACTCCAAAAATTTTCATATTTTAACAGCATGATTTTACACATAAAATAAGCATCTCAGCAAAAATTCAGAATTTTTCATCAAGAATTCAATTTAATAAAATTATATTATGAAGCTGCAGAATACAACAGCTAATTTGTAAATTTAGCAAACAAAGTCCAAAAATTCTGAAACTTTTTACACGACCTAGAAAACACACAGAAAGACCACACATTCCAATTTCATAATTTTTGAGGCAAATTGGAATTTAATATGCATTTTACAAGATTCTGCTCAGATTTCCAAACAATTATTAAAAATAGCTAAATTTATTATTTAAATCTGAAATTTTTACACAACATGTATTTCTAGCAGAGGGTCGAGCACACAAAATTTCGTAGTAATACGAACATCACATAATTTATCATAATTTATCTACCAAAACAGCGACAATACAAAATCGACAATTCATAACCGACTCGTTATACTACTAATCCGTCCGAAGTCTTCGCCATAAGACTATGGACGACATAAGTTCTAGTCCACAGCGACAAATTCACGAGTTGACGAGGCCTCGTTCGATTTTCCAAAATCGAAAGGCTCATCAACGCACAATCTCATAAACGACACAAATAATCTAACGGATACACATAAAATCACATAGGCATATATTCTTGAATTAAACCTTCACATATGACAATAAAATACACAACATAAACGAGACGAAAAATTTAAACAAGACGAGTCGAGCCTTGTACCATTCTCGAGAATCGATCAAAAACGGAACGAACGTAGGGTTGACGGGCTCGATTTGCAGTGGCTAGCGGCGACGAACGAGCTCGACGGCTCGCTGGGGAAGAAGGACAGCGGCTAGGTCGCGAATAAAGGTCGCTGTACGACATGGAAGTCGTCGGAATCGCTGCGCGAGGAGGTTGGTGGCGTCGCGGCGTGGAGAGGATTTGGTCGCCGGAAAAACTTCGCAGGGCTGTTGTGCGAGCAGGGACCCGCGATGGAGTTCACGCCGTGAAGGTGTTGCGCAGAGGAGCAGCGAGCAGTGGTTGCTCGTGAGAGAAGGGCCTCCTTGCATGAATAGCCGGAGTTGCAGGCGGCGACGGATTTCGCGAGGATGATGACGGAAGGGATCGGATTATTTGCAGAGGAAGGGAGAGGGTGAGGGATGGTGGCGCGATGGGAAGGGAAACAAGAAAGACGACAGATTTCTCTCCTCTGCAAGACGCGAGAGAAGATGACGGGCGTTTGGCGAGAGAAATTAAAGAGAGCAGATGAGAGTTATGTCTGCGGGTGATGTGTGAATGAACATAGAGGAGAGCGTACAATTTAAGAGGCTAGGGTTCTCCTTTCTTTCTCCACAAAACACACACTCTCACACCAAGGATGGACCGGGTTGGGCTCACGGGTTTGGTTTTGGGCTGGGCGCATGGGCCGGTTCACATTGGCTCGGGTCGATTAAACGCAACATTAAATCGGGTAAAATATATGTATATATATTTATTACACTCAATTAAATTTTAAAATAATAATAATATTAGTAAAAATACAAATACACAGTTTAATTAAATAATAACACTTAGACAATTTGGCAATTAATCATATTTGGACAATTAGGCATTTAATCGCAAATTGACAAATAAATCATATTAGGCATTTAATAATTTTTTTAGCATTCAATTAATAATAATAACAACAAATAAAGATAAATAATAATAATAATAATAATAATAATAATAATATAATAATAATAATAATAATAATAAATAATTCGCCAAATTTCATAATGAAACGGATTATATTTGGTTCACGCGATTGAAACGAAATCGTCAAACAACGTAAAACGATCGAGTACTCCAACCTTATATTTAAGTCGACATCGCGACTAATAAAATAAATATAACCTTACAAATAATATTCGATAAATAGAATAATCCGAGAAATTCTATAAATCGAACGGGGCGCTACATTCAGCCTTGGGGACAAGGCTGTTTCCGTCCGGGCAGGAGTTGATAGAGACCAATTTCTGAAAGTTTATTCTAGAAGGCCGAAACGGGCTGCGGCTGCTCCTACTGGACCCTAGGGCGTAGGCCTAATTATCCTTATTATTGAGTTAATATAATTAGTTAAGTTAGTGGGCTCTTAAATGGGTTTTAGGGTTTAATTATTAAATATTGGGGTTTAGTATATATATTAGTGGCTAAGAATCAGATTAGCATTCTGGAATATTGACGTTTGTGGTAGGCTATCTTGCCTGAGGACCCTTCGGGGTAGTTCTTTCAATTATCTACTGTTATTATTGCCCTTCACTCTATCATAATGTTAGATAGGTTAGGATTATATTAGTCGTGAGGAATAATACTCACGTGGGCTAAATTAGTTTGGTTAGGAGTTTTATTTATTTTGGTAAGTCTTGATATGCAAGACATTTAGTTACCTTAGGATTAGATATATTTTCCATAGATTAGAATTATAGTTGGTATAGGACTAGATCTAGTATTTCTTATAAATACCATGTACTCATTCAATTTTATATCATTCAAGAATTTATACAAAATACCCGAACACTTGTTCAAATTGTCTTGTGAGTTTACTCCTGTGAGTTTACAAACTAGATCGTGTTAGAAATAGGACCAACATCCGATTTTCTTCCACACCTATCGCGAAGTACGAAGGCGTCGGCGCGCGTATTAGCAACCTATCGTCGATCCAAGGCACTTACGTGCGGTGTTTTGGCAAGTCAAGACACGCAATCTTCATCATTGGTGCTTTTATTGAGAGAAGTTGATCGTGTGTCTTTTTCTTCCACATTCTTTTGATTTTCGTTTGNGTGTTAGTTTGTTAAGCGGCACAAGTTAGGATTAGTATATTATTAGTTGTTTATTAATATTAAAAGAAAAAAGTTTGTTTTGGGGTTTTGCGTGAGTGTTAAAAAAAAAGTTAATGAGTAATTTGGAGTGGAGGGATCGAATGGAGAAGATGAAGTTAGAGTGCTGGATCAAAGAGGTCAAAGAAGAAATCAAAGAGTTGAAACGTATAGGCAAAAGAAGGTGGTTGAAGGATAAAGAATACGATAAGTTGGACGAGTTGCGTAAAGAGCGAACTATGTACCGGGCGAGGATACGCAAACTCGAGTCACGTACGGAGGAGTTCGTTGACAAGGAGCCCGTGTTTACGTTCGATCCGTCGGGCTATGTCGAAGAAAAAATCGCCGAATTTGTGGTCGAGCAAGTCGAGCACAAGGCCAAGTGCATGGTCGACAGAAGACGTGGTCGACGAAGTCAAGGAGGAGGCTTTGATCGGGGCCGATGGAGACGAGGTCAAAAAGGTGATGGTCGATGGCGAGTCCTTGAGGACATGGACTCATTCGAAGGGGGGAGGAATGATGAAGATGTGGGTTTCGAGACCCGAGCACAGCTAGGACAGGGTGAGACCCGGTATGAGATACGCGCGGGTAAAGATCGCGCGAGACGGGCACGCTTGGTGCACGCGAAGATGGAGTCCTCGAGACGTACGAACATGGCGCACATGCATACGGGCCTGGGAGCACGTGTGAGCTTAGCAAGAGTAGTCCGGTCGAGCCCGGGAGTTGGCAAAGGGTCACGCGAGGAAGCACGTGGAGGCGTACGTGGGCGTGATGCACAAATGCACGAGGCGAGCCGTGCGAGCCGAGGAATAAAGATTCTAGAAGATTAATGTTAGATTAATTATGTAATTATTATTTAATTGTTAAATTAGTGTCGTTAATGTTAGGTTAAATATTATTAGTAGTTGTTAGTATATTCATGCATGTTAGATTGTTAGCATAGGTTTATATATATATTTAGCCGTAAGTTAGTTGTTAGGGGTTAGTATTTGATAGTGTTTGTTATTATTATTTCCGTGTAGTGGCACGTTAGTCTGTTAAGAGATTATTTAGTTTATTTTTATTTTTTTCGCAACGACAGATTCATTAAGTAAAACACATAATTACAACCGGTCACACCAGAATGGGAGGACTGCCCAATGGGAGGACTAACCAAGGTAGCCCATAAACGACAACACACACTACATCACGAAAGAAAAATACAAACTCCCCACAGGAGAATACACAAACTCCCCACAGGAGAATAACACAGTCCTCCAAAGAGGAAAAAAACAAAACACAATCCACGAAACAAAACAACAAACCACAAACAACACAAACCAGACAACAACACACAAACAACAACAAAATAACATAATAACTATAAGCCCTCCACAACCACAATGGACAGCCAAATCACGCGCACGAACGGACCCCAATAGAAGAAAAGAGACCCGACTCAATTCAGATCTAGAAACTGCAATCGAGGCCTAGCCAAACCCGAGCAAGCCAGGCCTCCTCCTACCGAAAGCCCGCAGACCTCACCACGAATTTCGGCCGGAGAGACACCCCACACCAAACCGGCCGGAGCAGTCAGAAGCCTCCCATCGACATCCCAACTCCCCCACCGTCGGGCCACCCATCCCAGCACCAGGAGACGGATGGTCCAGGGGATAATCACCTCCGCGAAAACTCAGCCGTCGTCAGCCTGAGGATAGCGAAACGGCGACGGCGACCGCGAACCACCCACCCACTCTGGGACCCCGCTGAAGAACCACCAAGGACCCCAAGACTGGGGGATAAACCTTGCCGATTGCAGGCCCGTCGGGGAAGAAGACACGCCGGTCCCCTAGTGTAGTCATCGTCGCGGCAGGCCGGAGCCTGCGGAGGGGAGGCGACGGCAAATTTGACGGGGGACTTCTAGGTTTAGCGAAAGGGGGATTGTATTTTTAGAGAGAGAAATTTAAACTTGAAGACTTGACGTCAGATTTTGTTGTTAAGAGATTATTTAGTTTAGGTTAGTAATGTTAGATAGGTTAGGATTATATTAGCCGTGAGGAATAATACTCACGTTGGCTAAATTAGTTTGGTTAGGAGTTTTATTCATTTTGGTAAGTCTTGATATGCAAGACATTTAGTTACCTTAGGATTAGATATATTTCCATAGATTAGAATTATACTTGGTATAGGACTAGATCTAGTTTTTCTTATAAATACCCATGTACTCATTCAGTTTAAGAATTTATACAAAATACTCGAACACTTGTTCAAATTGTCTTGTGAGTTTACTTCTGTGAGTTTACAAACTAGATCGTGTTAGAAATAAGACCAACATCCGATTTTCTTCCACACCTATCGCAAAGTACGAATGCGTCGGCACGCGTATTAGCAACCTATCGTCGATCTAAGGCACTTACGTGCGGCGTTTCGGCAAGTCAAGACACGCGATCTTCATCAGTGCGACCGGGCGCGGCCCTAGGCGCTGCTGGGCGCGGCTGGCACGACCTTGGCACTGGTCGTGCCCCTCGGGCACTGCTGGGCACGGCCGAGGCTTGCTGGGCACTGACTGAGGCTCGCTGGGCACAACTGAGGGTCACTGGGGGTGCCGGGCGTGCACTGAGCACGTCACTGGCACGGACTGGCACTGGTCTGAGGCTAGGCGGGCGCTGTCGGGCGCCCTGGAGGGTGCTGGGCATGCAGACGTGTTGCTGGGCATGTCCAGGGGCTCACTGGGCTTGGCAGACACGGGACAGACACGGGCAGGCGCGGGTCTGCGCGCTACCGGGCATCCCTGGGCATGGAGCGAGGCCCTCACGCGGAGACCTCGTGCACTGGGGCTAGCACGACACTGCCATGCGTCGTGCATGCGGCTTAGGCCCGTCAGGGGCTGTTACCGCGCTCACGGGCACAGACGCGCGCTGCCGGGCGCGGTTTCGTGCACTGGAGCTGCTGCGCGCTGCGCCTGTGTGGCGCGGGCACGAGCAGAGGCCCTGGCTGGCGCGGTAGGCGCTGCGGGCATGCGCGGGTCGGCACTGCACGCGCGGTATGCGCAGCCAGTGACCGGGACCGACACTTGCCAACTGTTTTTCAACTTTTCTAGTGACATGCATTATATATCAACATAATATGATGAAATGTACTTAAAAATGTTGAGAATCCCTAGGAGACCTCGGGTCTAATTAGGCTTGGTCCGGTAGGGCCGTTAGGGCACGTGCGAACTTAGGGTCACCAAACCCACTTCTTAATCTTATTTAAATGATCACGGCCGAATGTTAAGCAACATATTTCATGATTTTTGAGACTAAGAACAAGGGCTAAACTTGAATGCATAATCATTTGACTCGTGGGGTGAAAAATCGCATATTTTCGATGGCTAGTTGACCAAGTAAATGAACTCATATAATTCTCAAACTTATACACATCATTTCTTATGATTTTTAAGTGACCTTTGGCTATCAAACTCGACTTTTACATGTTTGTGGTGAAAAATCCGAAATTAAGGTAATTAATTCGTAAAATTCGAAACTTGATGAAAATGACATGCTTGGTTCCAATTCTCTTCATGATAAATCATATTTTATCATAAGTTGACTAAATAACTCAAAAGGCACGAGCTTACCTCGGCTGAAAATGGAAAACTAGTGCTACGGCTCGAAATAGGGCTAGGCTCGGCTATAGGACTTGAGGCTTGGCTCGAGGTAGTATTTGCTGAACTTGGTGACTTCCAATGACTTATAAAAATCCAAGGAACACTTGGAAGTCAATAAGCCTCGGAAGAAATGGCTTGGAACACGAGATGGCCGCAGCTTCCTCTTCCCCGGGTCCTCACGCGCGCGCGGGTGCACAAGCAAGAGTCTCTCGAATTTTTCTTGATTCCTCACTAAGTGTTCGAGTAATATGGTGTCTAAGATCTTCAAATGGACTGAATAAGGCTGCTTATTAAGTGGTTTGGGCGGAGCTTGCTATGCAAGAGGGTGGGGGACAAAAATGGGTGCATCTCTTCACTCCATGCGCATGAAATTTGGAGCCAAGGTCTTGGCCATGCTATGCACGATTTTTGGAGGGATAAATAGTGGGATGGCAGAGCATCTGGTCAGGCATGGCTCAAGACTAGGGGACAAAGATTCCACTATGGAATAAAATTATACTATGCACATGTACCCACTTTGCACCCATGCTAAGCTGATTTCCTTAAACATTTCTTAGGGCCATCTTAGCATTACTTAATCCTTATTAAGTTAGTTTTCATCCTCCAAATTTAGGCTCGAGACAATTGGGCCGGAGGTAGGTGATTTGGGCCTTGGAAGCTGGACCTGTCGCTTCCTGGGCGCGCTGGGCGCTGGGCCTCGGGCGCGGCCTTGCTGGTGGGACGCTGCGGGGCGCTGGGATGATGGGCCTGCGCTGGGCGCGTGCGAAGCCTGCTGGGCGCGTGGTCAGGGCCTGCTGCACGGGGACCATGGGCTCGGCGCGTGAATGACACTTGGACCAATTTTTGAGGCTTTTCTTGTGTCCAAATGACTTAGAAAAATATACCAAGTGTTGGTTAGAACTTAGGCTTGGTCTCGGATCTCGACCCGGGGCCTTGGGTGGGGTCGCGGCTCGAGTGGCTCGGTTAACTTCTCGGTTTTTCGAACGAGGTCTAGGACTTGAATTTGCACTTCATATTACTTAGAAAAATTCTAAGTATTATGCTATTAAGACTCGGCATGTCCTAAGGCTCGATGACTAGGGTTCGGAACGAATGAAACTTAATTTGAATAAAATATCCGAATACTTAAAATGAACTTAATATATTTTAAGCACTTAGCATATACTTAATAAATCTTGAATTCCTTAAATTACGAATTTTCACTTAAAAGTCGAGCAGTGAAACATCGTCTTAATAATATAAAAATAATCGGGGCGTTACACAACCTCTCTCTGGGGCTACTGATCAACTACTTCTACGACTCCCTCCATTAGAACTTGCAGTATATGGTTGACAATGCGGCAGGGCGAGATATCGGAGCAAAAACGGCTGGAGAGATGTTCGACATTTTCGAGACGATGAGCACGAATTCGTCGCAGAAGAGCAGTCGAGGGAAGAGAGTGACAATAAACGAGGTCGGGCAGGGCAACAATGTGATGGCCCAATAGTTAGCCAAGCTCACAGAGCAAATGCATTTACTTAACGTACGAGGAGCTCAGCCGGTTCAGACCATGTCCGTTGACACGTGCGGGGCATGTGGAGTCCCAGGGCATAGGTCTGAAGTGTGCCCTTCAGCCTTCGATCAGGAGTTCGGTGAGCAGTATGCAGATGCCAGCGCTTTACAGGGATACCAAGCCCGGCCTGACAATGACCCGTTTTCAAACACGTACAACCCGGGGTGGAGGAATCATCCCAGCTTCTCCTGGTCCAACAACACGAACTCCTCCCAGCAACCCCGTCCGAATTTCATGCAGCAGCAACCTCGACCCAACTTCATTCCCCGTCCGAACTACCAGCAACAACAACATCCTAGAGGACCAGAAGCCGGGATGCAAGCACCGGGAGCCGGGCCAAGTTCATCCCTCTAGGAGGACAAGCTCGACAAGATCCTCCAGTATATCACGAACCAAGATGCATCTATCAAGCGTCTTGAGACACAAGTGGGTCAACTGGCCACTAGGGTTAGAACCATCAAGACTGAAATGAACAAGGGAAAGTTGCCTAGTCAGCCGGAGCATGTGAATGCAGTGACTGTGATTTTGCCCGACATTGAGAGGGAGATCGTAAGCGACAAGAAGAAAGAAGGAAAAGAGGGCCCAAAGAAGCAAGAAACCCCAGTGACACTGCTGGCTGAGCCAACCTTACACAAAACTCCGAACCCATACAGGTCGAAGATTCCCTTCCCAGGCTGACTTTTGGAGGAGAAGAAAGAAAGAGACCCCGGTGGGTTTGAGATCAATATAGCTTTTGGGAGTGGGAAGGATGCTTCGGGAATGCTAGACCTTGGGGCAGGCATAAATCTGATGCCCTTCTCTATTTATCGGACACTTGGACTCAACGGTCTGAGCCACCAGGATGCATCTACAACTTGCCGATCACTCGCTCCTTCAACCCGAAGGGATTGTGGAAGATGTCCGGGTAAGAGTGGGGAAGCTGATAGTCCCCGTTGATTTTGTGGTTCTTGATATGAGGGATATTAGAGAGAACGGGTATCAGCACACCATCCTCCTCGGACGACCCTTTATGGCGATCACCAACACAGTAATTGATGTGAAAAAGAGGACTGCAAGCATGATGGTGTTGGCAGAATCTACCTTCATCTCCGTCCGAGGGTCCCAGCTTGAGCCGCCAAAGCAATTTCAGGGTCATGTCCATACCAACCGTCACACTCCCCCCTCCCGGCCGAGTTCGATGAAACTGCCCCGGTCCCACTAGGGAGAGAGATATGATTTGTCAGCCGCCCGCCGCTGTTCGGGGCCTGACTATCTCCATCCTCCGCCTGCACCACCGAATTCACAGTGACTAGTATAGTCACTGTGCACTGTATGATTGTATCTCTCCCTTTTTCTTTTTTGCATTTGGTTCTATTTTTCTATTTTTTTTCTGCTGGTTAATTGAGTAGGTAAATTTTTCTAGCTCTGATCATCGACAATGGGTTCATTGTACATTTTTAGTGTTGGGAACTTTTACATTATTCTAGTAAATAAAAAAAAAGAAATCATTTTTCGCGACTCGCGAGATATGTCGCGAGTTAGCCCACGAGAAATGTCTATCGGTCCCAGTTTTTTTCGCGACTCGTGGCAAAATGTCGCGACTTGCGACACTATAGTCGCGACTCGTGAAGCTTCCGCGAGTCGCGAGTTTCCCCATAAGAAAATGTTGTCGGACTCTGTTATTTTCGCGACTCGCGAGAATTGTCGCGAGTCGCGACTTATCAATATATATCGCGACTTTGCGGTCGCGACTCGCGACTTACCTCCTATTAAATCTGATATGTCGTCTTTTATTTGTGCAGATCGTTATTCCTCTCTCGCGACCACTTCTCTCGCGATAAGAAGGAACCCTCGCCCAAATTGCTCATCTTCTCCGTTCAACCTCTGACCGACGATGCTCTGATCACCGTTGACCTGCTCGCCATTGAACTCAGTTCCACCGACGACAACCAACCCCTAGCACCACTCTCTCTCTTCTCGTGACGAGCAAGTCTCGTCTTCAATTTCTCAGACGACAGCCCAACATCACCTGCCGTTTCGACCTCCGACCACCGTTAATCGGCACTCTGACTCCTTCACTTCCAGCGACCATATCCCTCCGACTCCCGGCGCTCCGCTCGCTACTATCTCTCTTTCTCTCGCGACCATCGACAATCCTAACCCCCTAATTTTGTCTACCACCTCAGGCCAGCCATCACTATCATTCCGACCGCCGGCTATAGCGCACCTCCGGCCACCCAGCACCTACTCCGTCAACCTCTGCCACCGACCGCTTCATATTCTCCTCTCGCGAAATCGAGCAGCGACTCCACCATCTCCCTCATTCCCGACGCAGTCACCACCAGTGTCCTTCACCTTTGGCCAGTTGGATCATCGGTGTTCCCCATCTCCGACGTCTACCGGCGAGTCTCTCTGGTGTCCGTTCACCAGCCGCGGTTCACAGCCACACCATCCGACCTCCTTCACTTCTTCAAACTTCTTCATATCATATTCGCGATTTGACGCCCGGTAATCGTTCTTCTCGTTACTCTGTGATAAAGTTGAGTCGCTTGGTGATATGGGATATTATATGACTAAGGAATAGACCGGCCTACTGAATAGGTCGGGCAAGCTCGAAGTAGAGAAAACCGTTTGGGTCGAAGGATGATCGACCAAAAGGGAGAAGACCGAGCAGAATAGCAGAACTGGTCGAGGATCAACCTAGGGATGGGGACTCGACCAGATCGAGCACGCAGCAGGTGGAGAGCAGTCGAGAGCGTGGCTTGAACATGAGAAGGCGCGTGGGCGGCGTTAGAAGATCCCAACGGCCTGCGCAGAAGAATAATCTCACTCAGCTCAGAGGGACACGTGGCGAGAATACATTGGTGCAGAGCGATAGTGGCGATAGCCACCCTTGACATCTCTGACACACACACACTATGTGTGTACGGACGGGCAGTACGGGCAGGACAGCTCACCAAAAGCCGGGCAGTTTCTAGGGCAGGTATCTCACTCCTATATATAGGGGAGTGGGTCTTTTCTTGTGGATTATGATTTATCCATTCTTTACTTTGGAAAATTGAACAAACACATACTGACTTAAGCATCGGAGGCTCTTCACCGGAAAACCCCTCCGGTGTGAGAGTTCTGTGCAGGAACGCAGTGTTCTACCGGCGAGGAAGAAGGAGGCAAGCTGATTTCAAGCCAGTCAGAGTGTTTTGCGTTACCATTTGGCGCCGTCTGTGGGACTTTCGTTCGAAAAAGTGGTGTGCTGAGATTTTTGAAGCTCGGTGGCTATGGCGGACGGAATTCCTAGGAGATATTTGCAAGCATCGTTCGACGATGCGTGGACGATGACGAGGCCGTTTGGAGAAGGCCCTCCTCCGGGCTTCTCCGGACCCTTGCGTACACCGGTGACTCCGATGCCCGTTCCCCAAGGTGTAGGAGTCACGTCGGTGCAACCAGAGGCTGACGTGGGCTCAGGCCGGGCCCAGGAGATTCGTACAGCTCAAGGAGCGGCAACCCCAACGCCGCTGCAACCAGATCTGGCCGGGACGCTGCAACAAGGAGCGGGGGTGCAGGGAGCAGTACCACCGCCAGTGGAGGAGCCGCGCCCCGGCCAGCAGGTGGTGATAACCAGGCAGGAGATGCAGCAAATGGTGGCGAACGCGGCGGCACTAGCTGTTCAGCAGGTCACTCAAAGCCTTTCGCGAGTGGCTGCTGGACCAACGATGGTGGATGAGGACGTGTCTAGCTATGGAGGAGATGGAGCCCCGCGAGATCGTGAGGTGGAGAGGCTCCCGGAGAAAGTGAGGCAGATGCAGGCTAAGATGGATGGTCGACCTGAAACACGTGCTCGAGGACATCCGTTCTCGAGGGATATATTGGTTGCACCACTACTTGCGAATTTTAGGGACATGAGTTTGATGTTCGACGGGACCACTGACCCGTCGAGGCACGTAAGGGCATTTGAGAATTTGGTTGTGTTACATGGTTATTCTGATTCTATTAGCTGCAGGGCATTCTTGTCGACCTTGAGGGGAGGTGCGCTCAATTGGTTTCAGCAGCTCCCTCATGGATCGATCAAAGACTTTGATGATTTTGCGGAAAAGCTGATGACCCAGTATGCGAGTGCAGTGGCGTAGGAGAAAACGTATTTGACGTCGATGGCCATGAGGCAAGGGGAGAAAGAATCGTTGCGCAAGTATGTTGCGCGATACAATCAAACTTGTTTGGAGATCCCCACGGCCTCGGACGAGGTGAAGGCTGGGGGGTTGATATGGAGTTTGCAAGCAGGGACGTCGAACAGCTTTAGCCAAAACCTCTGCTCGTACGTATGATGATGTGCTGAAACGGTGTAAGAAATATATTAATCTGGAAGAGATGGAGGCGGAGTTCGCTAAGTTGGAGGAGTTGGCCAGGCCGGAGCTGAATAAAGGAAGGACAAGCCCACCTCGAAAGGCGTCACCAGGTAGGAGATCGCCCAGGAGAGAGGGGCGTGGCAGGGTTGATTGAGGGCCAGAGGATCGGTGGAAAGATGGGGAAGCGGTTCCATAACTTTACGCCCCTTAATGCAAAGATGGGGGAGGTGCTGGTGGCTATTGAGAAGAAGATCGAGAATAAGGACGTGACGTGGCCGAAGTCGAGGCGTGAGGCCTAACGCAACCTAGGTCGGGGAAGTATTGTCGTTTTCATAAAGATTATGGGCATACAACGGAGAAGTGCAGGCACCTGAAGGATGAGATCGAGCGCCTTATTAGGGCAGGATATCTTAAGGAGTTTGTATATGAAGACAAGGCGAAGGGCAAGGGCAAAGGAAAGTGTCTGGAGGATTCGGTGGAGCGGAGTGATCGAGATGATGATGAGGAGGAGGATGATCCTCGAGGAGGGAAAGATGATCGAGGAGGAAAAAGGAGACGAGGGAGTCGAGATCAAGGTCAGGAGGATCATGGCCTAGTGAAGAGAGGGACGATCTATATGAGTTTGGGGGGCCCGACTGATGGGGACTCGAACAATGCAAGGAAAGGCCATGTTCGAGCGATGAAAAGAAAGAGAGAGGAGGTGGGGGTCACTGTTCGAATGCCGGTGATAAGTTTCCGAGCGGAGGATGCAGAGGGAGTAGTCCTGCCCCACAATGATGCGTTAGTGATAACGGTGGAGGTAGCCGGTTTTGATGTGAAGAGGGTGTTCATCGATACCGGGAGCTCGGTGGACGTAGTGTTTTATGATTGTTTTGTGCAGATAAATAAGGAGCTCAACCTCGACTTGAAGCCGGTGGCAACTGCCCTGTATGGATTCAATGGAGGCGAGGTGATGCCAATGGGAGAGGTGAGTCTATCTGTGGCGTTGGGACAAGGAGCAACGAGGAAGGTGAGAATGGTGAGGTTTGTGGTCGTTGGAGCAGAGTCATCATATAACATTATCATGGGAAGGACCAGTTTGAATGCATTCCAGGCGGTCGTGTCGACGTACCACATGACGATCAAATATCCGGTGGGGGAAAGCGTTGGTGAGGTCGCGGGAGATCAGCTTACCTCGAGGAGTTGCTATCAAACCACGGTGAGCAACAATAAGCAGCTCTCGAGGAAGCAAGCGAAGCCTGAAGAGGGAGTGCTGAACCGACCTGGGGGCTCGAGGTCGAGAGAAGAGACGGAGAGAACAAATAAGGGGAAGGAGAAGGTGGAGATGCAGCCGGGAGGGGAGATCGAGGAGGTTCAGATGGTAGAAGGTTGCGAGGATAGGAAGTTTCGGATAGAAAAAGAGATTGAGGAGCCTATAAGGTCGAAATTGATTGGATTGATTAGGGAGTTCGCGGATGTTTTCGCGTATACGACTGAGGAGTTGACAGGGATAAAAGCAGAGGTGATCGAACATCGTTTGAATATAGACCTAACGGTGAGGCCGGTGTAGCAAAAGAGGAGACACCATGGCGCGGAAATGGACAAGGTGATCGAGCAGGAGGTTGAGAAGTTGTTGAAGGCGGGCCATGTTAAGGAGATCCAGTTTCCCGAATGGTTGTCGAACACGGTGATGGTGTCTAAGTCTGGAGGGAAGTGGAGGATGTGTATTGATTTTCGTGACTTAAACAAGGCGTGTCCGAAAGATTTGTATCCACTGCCCAGGATCGACCAGCTGGTCGATTCCACAGCAAATTGTGAACTGCTCAGCCTTATGGATGCATCCAAGGGGTATCACCAAATCCCTTTAGCCCGAGAGGATAGGAAGAGTGTGAGCTTTGTTATGAGCAGAGGCACTTATTGTTATGTGGTGATGCCTTTTGGTTTGAAGAACGTGGGTGCAACGTATCAGCGGTTGGTCGATAAAATCTTCAAGGAACAGCTCGGGAGGAATATGGAGGTGTATGTCGATGATATGCTAGTGAAGAGTAAGGTGGAGGCCAATCATGTGAATGACTTGAAGAAAACGTTCTTGACTTTGAGAAGATATGGCATGAAACTGAACCCTACTAAGTGTTCTTTTGGGGTGAAGTCGGGAAAGTTCCTGGGGTATATGGTGACGAAGAGGGGGATCGAGGTCAACCCAGAGAAAGTGAGAGCGGTGATCGAGATGGAACCACCCAAAAAAGTGAAGGAGGTGCAGATCTTGACGGGCAGGATTGTGGGCTTGAGCCGTTTCATATCTTAGGTGGCGGAGAAGAGTGGTCCTTTGTTTCGAACACTGAGAAAAAGTTCAAGGTTCCAGTGGACGGAGGAGGCACAGAGAGCATTCGAGGAGTTACAAAAGGTGTTAGCCAATTTGCCTCTATTGGCTAAACCGATTCCAGGGGAGGACTTGGTGCTATACATATCGATCGGAGAAATGGCGGTGAGCTCGGTTTTGTTAAGGGAGGAAGGTACAGTACAATTTCCAATCTATTACATAAGCAAGGTAATGCAAGGGGCGAAAGGAGATATTCGGAGATCGAGAAGTGTGCTTTAGCAGTGGTGGTGACGGTGAGGAAGTTGCGGCCGTACTTTTTGGGCCATAAGGTGAAGGTGAGAACGAACATGCCGTTGGGAGAAACTTTAGGTCGACCTTCTGTATTGGGTCGACTAATCAAATGGGCTGTTGAATTGAGCGAATACACGATAGCATACGAGCCAAGGAGAGCGATAAAGGCGCAAGTGTTGGCTAATTTCATACAGGAGGGTACGAAGGTAGAGGAGGAGATAGAAGGTGTTTGGCAAATGTTTGTTGATGGATCGGTGTCGAGAGCTGGAGGAGGTTTAGGCATTGTTTTAATTTCGCCCAAAGGAGATAATTTAGAGTTCGCTGTCAAAGTCGGGTACAAGGTGTCGAACAATGAGGCCGAGTACGAGGCGGTTATTAAGGGGATGCAGTTGGCTATGGCAGGTGGAGCTCGGAGAGTGCAAGTATACTCCGATTCCCAATTGGTGGTGGGCCAGTTTTAGGAGGATTTTGAGGTAAAGGAGGAGAGAATGCAAAGGTACGTTGAAGAGATGAAGAGATTGCGCGCAGAGTTTAGCTCATTCGAACTAGTGCAAATACCTCGTGGGGAGAAT